CTTTCCTTCTCCAGGGGATCTTCCCAACCCAGGGATTGAACCCAGGTCTCCCGCATTGCAGGCGGATTCTTTACCAGCTGAGCCACAAGGGAAGCCCAAACAATCCAAGGAATACCACAAAGTGTGGTGGTGGTTTAGTCCCTAAGTCATGTCCAACACTTCAAGACCCCATGGACCGTAGCCCACCAGGCCCATGGGATTTCCCAAGCGAGAACACTGGAGTGGGTTGTCATTTCCTTCTCCAGGGGATCTCCTGCAGTGCAGGCAGATTCTCTACCACCTGAGCTATGAGGGAAGCAGATCGCCAAGTAAGGACTTAATTATTTGCTAAATGGAGTTGACATTTGTGTTTCTCAAGTCTAATTGTTCATCAAAACTTCTGGGACATTAAGTAATTAGAGGCCCTCTCTAACCCCCTCCCCAGCTTCCATATACTTTCCATGAAACCCAGGAATCTGATTTGAAAGCTTCCTGGGTAATTTCGGTATGCAGGTGTGGGCTGAGAAGCATTGACTGAGAGGAGGTAGACAAGTGATGTGGACTCAGGAAGGTCTTATTGAGGGGGAAATTGCACCGATATTGCAGGATAAGAAGGATTGAGATAGAAAGCAGAGCATCTGTACCGGAAGGAGGACAGTAAGTAGAAGGACTCCAGAAATAACTGTGGCTCAGGGGTAAGCTCGAGACCTTGTTCTTGAAAACCCTTACAAAGTTTATCCTTGGAAAATAATCTATGCTGACAAATGACAAGATGTTATTGCAGCATGGCTTAGTGGGAAAGACCGTGAACGGTTGAGTTATGAGATGGTTCCTGGTTGTGTGACTTTACCTCCATCACAATATCCATCACCTAGATATTTAAGGATCATTTTTTTTTCCAGTAGTCATGTATGGATGTGAGAGTTGGACGGTGAAGAAAGCTGAGCGCCGAAGAATTGATGCTTTTGTACTGTGGTGTTGGAGAAGACTCTTGAGAGTCCCCTGGACTGTAAGGAGATCCAACCAGTCCATCCTAAAGGAGATCAGTGGTGGGTGTTCATTGGAGGGACTGATGTTGAAGCTGAAACTCCAATACTCTGGCCACCTGATGCAGAGAGCTGACTCATTTGTAAAGACCCTGATGCTGGGAGGGATTGGGGGCAGGAGGAGAAGGGGATGACAGAGGATGTGATGGTTGGATGGCATTACCAACACAATGGATATGGGTTTGGGTGGACTCTGGGAGTTGGTGATGGACAGAGAGGCCTGGCATGCTGTGGTTCATGGGGTTGCAAAGAGTTGGACACGACTGAGCAACTGAACTGAACTGTAAGTGGTGCAGGCAGGGGGACCCCTTCCAGGGTCCAAGAGTGGGCCCTTGTCTAACACTTGGAAACGAATTGTCCCAGGAGAAACAGTGAGAAGCAAGAGACTTTATTGGGAAGGGGTGCCTGGGAGGAGCAGCAGCAGGACCCCAGGTATGTGGCTCGAAGTCTCGGGTTTTACGGAGATGCGGTTAGTTTCCAGGTTGTCTCTGGCCAATCATTTAGACTCAGTGTCCTTCCTTGTGGCACACACATCTCTCAGCCAAGATGGATTCCAGTGCAAAGGGTTCTGGGAACTTGGCAGGACATATCATCTCCTCCCTCCTCTTCTCAGTCCCTCTCTTATTCTCCTGGTTACATTTCTGCTGGCAGCACATCATTCTTTTATCGAGACCTCCTGTCGTGAGACAACTCCGGCAAGTTGTAATCATTGTCTGGCCACTGTGGGCGATTTCAGTCAATGGTTCCCTAATATAAAGACTGTGTGAGTGCTCAGTTGTGTCTGAACCTTTGCAACCTCATGGACTGTAACCCGTCAGGCTCCTCTGTCCATGGGATTTCCCAGGCAAGAATACTGGAGTGGGTTGCCATTTTCTCCTCCAGGGGATCTTCCTGATCCAGGGATCGAACTTAAGTCTCCTGTATCTCCTGCAATGGCAGCAGATTCTTTACCACTGCGCCACTTGGGAAACGCAAACATAAAGACTGGAGTCCTTACAGCATTCTGGGGAGGTGGGTACACAGTCTTCCCCATTTCAGGAAATGACACTGCATTTACCTAGAAGCCCAGGTTACAAATCTTGGAGCCATTTTTTAATTTCTTTTCCTTACCTGTCCCCATGTCTAATCCATTAGCTAACCCTGATGATTTTCCTTCCAAACCGTATCCCAAATCTCTCACTTCTCACTGACTCCATTGTTCCTTTAAGATCATTAATTACTGAAACCTATTCAAGAGCAAGCCTTTTCAGTCTCCTCTTTCACCCTCATTAAGAGGCTCTTAGCTGGCTTAAAACTCAGCATTCATAAAAGTAAGATCATGGCATCTGGTATTATCACTTCATGGCAAATAGAAGGGGAAAAAGTGGAAGCAGTGACAGACTATTTTCTTGGGCTCCAAAATCACTGTAGATGGTGATTGCAGCCATGAAATTAAAAGATGCTTGCTCCTTGGAAGGAAAGCTATGACAAACCTAGGCAGCGTACTAAAAAGCAAAGACATTACTTTGCCAACAAAGGTCCATCTAGTCAAAGCTATGGTTTTCCAGTAGTCATGTATGGATGTGAGAGTTGGACTGTGAAGAAAGCTAAGCGCCAAAAAATTGATGCTTTTGAACTGTGGTGTTGGAGAAGACTCTTGAGAGTCCCTTGGACTGCAAGGAGATCCAACCAGCCCATCCTAAAGGAGATCAGTCCTGGGTGTTCATTGGAAGGACTGATGCCGAAGCTCAAGCTCCAACCTTTGGCCACCTGATGTGAAGAGTTGACTCATTGGAAAAGACCCTGATGCTGGGAGGGATTGGGGGCAGGAGGAGAAGGGGACAACAGAGGATGAGATGGCTGGATGGAGTCCGACTCGATGGGCATGAGTTTGAGTAAACTCTGGGAGTTGGTGATAGACAGGGAGGCCTGGCGTGCTGAGATTCATGGGGTCGCAAAGAGTCGGACACGACTGAGAGACTGAACTGAACTGAACTGAACTGGCTGAAGGAGAGCACTGAGGATTTTCCCCAAAGCAGTGTCTTCCTGAACAGAACTGGGAAAGTTTTAAGCTAAGGGTATATGCATATTCTTCAAGGGGCTTGGGAGGTCAACAGAGTCTAGCTTTAGTTGGATTGAAAACCAGAGAGTCAGAAAAGGTCAACATCCTCCCTTAGGGTGCCTCAAGGGGGTCTGAATTTTGCAAAACACCTCAAGAAAGTGCTTCAGGCTAATGGGAACTATTAAAACAGAAGTGGGAGTTTACAAATGATTTGTTATCTTTGCTATTGTTACTTCTATTGCCTGATAACAGACTTCCTTCCTTGCAGTTCTAGGACAAGGGGGCTGGGGGGATGGCCAGGTGAAGAGCACAAAAACTTGTTTAGTCGCTCAGTCTGTCCCACTCTACTCTTTAGGACCCCAGTGACTGCAGCACGCCAGGCTTCCCTGTGCTTCACCATCCCCCAGAGTTTGCTCAAACTCACGGGGTCACAAAGAGTTGGACATGACTAAGTGACTAACACTACACCACTACATGGCTATTGATGGAGTTTGTGAAATGGCTTAGGCCAAAAATGGCTTCTGTTCTCTTCCTCAGCGGACCCTCTACCTCGCCTGCTTAGAAGTGGCCAGGGGAAAGGAATCGGAACAAGAGTGGAGAGGTATGTCAGGGAGCAACAGACTTATAGCAAATCATGAAGGCTATACATGGCTCCTTCTAAAAGTGCAATACGCATTTCTCCTCATTTCTTCTGGGGCCACCTCTTCAAGGAATGAGTGTCATCTGGCGGAATTGAGGAGTTTTAATTTCAGAGGACAGTAATTCAGATGATCACATCGTCCTCTTTCGCGACGTGTTTGAGCCAGTGCGGCAAAATCTTCACTTGTGGGTCATCTGTCACTTGGTCTCAAGAAAGCGGCTGAATGGAATTCACAACTCAGGCGAATTAAGGGCAAAGCTGAGGTCCGTAAGTCCCTCGCGGGCCGTTTCCGAAATACATTATCTATGAAAACATATAACAACATCTATTACGGGGGGGGGGGTTGGGAGACTGCATGCCTCTGGCCCCTCTCTCTGGCAGGGACGCAGGTCTCTCCTCAAAAGTCCCAAGTATCCAACTCTCGCCGCCAGCAAGAGGGCTAGGTTCACAAGCAACCAGTTTTTCAGGCGGCTGCGTCCCCTTTCTTCCTTCTTCGTGGTTCGTCGGTCACGGTGGCTTCAAACAGAACGACTTTGTGTGTCTGAAATCAACCCGGCACTCTGGCACACCGCGGGAGGGGTAGACCACTGCACGGATTCCGAGAACCGCAGTCAGTAGACAGAGGTTGGGCATGAGGGGAAAAAACCAGAGGCTCTGGGAGGGAGAAGGAAAGCAACTGCGTCGGCGGTGCATTCTGGGAGTCGTAGTCCCCTAGGGGGCGGACTGCCCGAAGCTCCAGCGGGCTCTGCACTCCATCTCCCAGCAGGCCCCACGTCGCAGAGGCGGCGAGCGGTGGGGGCGCCAAGTGACGAACTGCCGCAGGGGGAGGGGGCCTGGGGTGGAGAAACGCTGCGGACGCCGCGGGGAGACGTTACCTGCCGTGCGCGAGGGGGGCCGACGGACCCTCGGGCGGGCGACCGCGAGGGTCAGGCGGCCGCCGCACGCTCCGGTGCTCGCCCTCGGCCCGCCTCAAGGGCTCGCGGCGTCCGCCATGGAAGCACATCCGGCCGCCTCCGGGGTCTCCCGGAGCCGCGTCCCCGGGTCCCCGGAGCGATGAACGAGTAGGGGCGACCCCACGCTCCGCCTCCCGCCCGCCATCGGTCGGTCGCCCTGAGAGGGACCGCGCGGACCGGCTGCCGGCCGCGGGGCCGCCCCCGCGCCGCCCCGCCCCGTCCCGCCTCCCGGGGGCGCTGCCGGCGGGTGGGGGCGGGGGGCGTCCGCCGCTCATGCCGCCCCGGCCGCGCCGCCCGCCCGCCTGCCCGCCCGCGCCCGCCGCCGCCCCGCCGCCCCCAAGATGTGGCACAACGTGGGGCTGACCCTGCTGGTGTTCGTGGCCACGCTGCTGATCGTGCTGCTGCTGATGGTGTGCGGTGAGTGGGTAGTTCACACCCGCCGGCTCGGCTTGTCCTGCCGACTGGCTGGTTCTGTCTCTCGTTTTTAAAAGAGAAAAAAAGAAAAAAGATGGTCTGGGTGGGCAAGTGTCGAAAAACCACCGGTTCTCCACTTGCCCCTCGGGAGTGAGCCCGGAGCTGGGTACACCTGCCCACCGCGGGCCCGCTGGCGTCCCGCAGAGGAGGGAGCCTGGTCCAGCGCTGGGCGTGTGGACCCGGGATTAAGCCTGGCCGCCGCAGCGCCTCGGTCGCCACCCTTGCCACAGATCAGCCCATACCGTCACCTTGGCCTGTTTGCGAAGGTGCAGTGATTCGTCCTCTTTCTGTCTTTTTACACGTTCTGACTCCCGATGATAAAGCGAGGGAGGTTTCATTACCTTCCTTGAACCAGGGACAGAAGCAAGAGTTGGCTTTGCAGCACGCGTGAGATTGTTTGCTTGGAGTTTAGGCGTAAGCTCAATTCCAAACAGCAGTGTCGAGACGAGGCAGAACTTAAAAAACACCGGCTATATTAAACTTCCAGGGTCAGGTAACCTAACTCTTAGTTCTGTAGTAATGGTGCTATTTTGTTTGCTGTGATTTTGGTTTTTTTCCTTCCCCTCCATGGAATGAGAGAACGTGAAACTTTTTTCTCAAGGTAATTTTAGCGCAATTGTAGATTTTTTTTTTTTTTTCTAATACACAGTAACTGGTAGCTACCCAGCCATCTCATCCTCTGCCGGCTTCTCCTTCTGCCCTCAATCTTTCCCAGCATCAGGGACTTTTCCAATGAGTCGTCTGTTCGCATCAGATGACAAAAATACTGGTGGTGGGATGGCATCACCAATGCAATGAACGTGAACTTGGACAAAATCTAGGAGATTGTGGGGGACAGGAAGGCCAGGTGTGCTGCAGTCCATGGGGTTGCAAAGAGTGGGACAGGACTGGGCAACTGAACAACAAACAACAGCAGACAGCCACAGCTCTCTTAGCAAAGGGGCTGAGCAATTGTGAACATTTGGGAAAGTGTTTACAACCAGATGTCAGTGAGTTTGCTTTTTCATAATTATCACATTGAAGTATGGATTCAGATTGATGCAATAATTGGTTAGTATTCAAAATATGGGGCTTAGTCATTATGTGATTAATGCACCAAGTGCTCGGTCAGCTGTGTTCGGAAACATTTAGGCATGTACATATATGTATATTTGTATTTATATACTTGTATGTGTATTTAAAATTTCCTTTTACACGACCATATACATGTGTATATATAGATACACTTGTGTGTATATACTTGTTTGTATATTTTTAGTTTTCTTGCTTTTACTAAGGCACTAGAGCTAAAGTTTCTAACTTACAGGCTTTTCTGATGATAAAGCAATTGGAAGGAAGGCCTTTCTCAACTTCCTGCCTGTGATGTCAGGATTTGGGGCTAATTGTAGATGTTTAGGATCCTTGAAATAAGGAAAACCAAATCTTTGTGATTTGTGTGGTTATGAGGAAGAGGTAAACATGCTTTCCTTTCTGATTTGAACATGCAAACTACCTGGAGGTGGCAAGGTAAACCATACACCACTTCCTTGTTGTTCAGTCGCTAAGTCGTGTCCGACTCTTTGGGGCCCAATGGACTGCGTGCACCTGTCTGTCCTTCACTATCTCCCAGAGTCTGCCCAAACTCACATCCATTGAGTCTGTGATGCCATCCAACCATCTCATCCTCTGCCACTCCCTTCTCACCATTTTAGAGTATTTGCCAAACTTGCCTTTGAGACCTCAAAATTCCTATTTGCTACATCTCAGACTTGCTCTCTCAACCTTCAGTAGCTGTTTGACTTAAATTCTACTCATTTTTCTAAAAGTACCCTGCCTTTGACTTCAGAAAACAATGTGGAATGAGAGGTGAGGTGTGGTAAGTAAAAGAATGCCATATTTTGATTGGAGTGGTCCAGAATAGCTGTAAGAAGTAATCTGAGCACTTTGTTGTTGGGAGAGTGATTGATGGGGTGGCTTCATATTCTGACTAGTGGGGGAGCCTGGGGCTTAGGGAGGGGGAGGGATGGATCCCATCAGATTTGAGAGAGAAACTAAGTCTCCTGTAACAATATAGACATTAAACTACAGAAATTTATTTTCTTATAGTCTGGAGGCTAGAAGTTCAAGCAAGGTTAATTTCCTCTGAACCTCTTTACTTGACTTACAGATGACCATCTTCTCCCTGTGTCTTCACGTGACCTTTCATCTGTGTGTGTGTGTCTGTGTCCTAATCTTATGTAATAAGGGCACCGGTCATATTGGATTAGGGCCCCACCCTTATCAATTTACTTAACCTTTAAATAAACCTTTAAAGTCCTTGCTTCCAAACACAGTCACATTAGGGATTAAAAATCAATGACCTGGGTCTGCCCCAAGAAATGCGTAGCCTGAAAGAACTCTGACCGGTTCTCTCACATAGTGAATTCTCATTTTCAAATTTCAGGTTCCTTAGGGAGGTCTTCCTTCTCCTATCTGTTGGTTGTACTTTCTTGCCTCTCATTCATTCTAAAAATATTTTCTACTCCCACTATTCACCGAAACTGCCGTTGTCAAGGTCAGTAACAAATGGCCTCCGTATCACCAAGTCCATGGTCACTTGAGTTCTAATTCTCTTTAACCTCACAGACTCGTTCTGTCCAGGTAAGCATTCTTCCCAAGAAGCATTTCTCGTGGCTTCTGTACACTCTGCCTTCATGGTGTTCTTCCTACCATAGTGGTTAATTGTTTTATCTTTTCCTATCATCTCATCCCCTAGAATTTAACTCTTTTCGACTAAATCTATGATAGGAAATATTTTACATTACTCCCAGTACATTCATAAGTATATCGATTACATGTATCAATCAGTTTATATGTACATGTATCTATCTTCCCATCATCGCTCTTATCTCTGAAATAAAAATTTTACAGACTAGTACTTGGCCATTACTCCATGAGATGCATGCTATTTTCTACACTCCTATAATATATTGTGTTATAACAAAAATATATATATATATTTCTGTTTTCACCTTCCTTCCGTTCTGTCCCTTATCTAGTTCTAAAGATTTAAATAGTAACTGTAACGAATGACTAACATTGGTATCTCCAGCTATCACGACTCGCCTGCACCCTAGGCTCATGCCTCAGTACCCTGACTTGGAGATCTAATAACCATCTCAAACTGAACACATCAAAAAAACAGAACTTTTGATTTCTACCACCTGTTTGTTCCTCCCTGCTCACATGTTACCAGCAGCCAGGGGCTTGGGTGTCATTCTTGGATTTGCCCTTTCCTTACAAATACTCACTCCATCTGGAAGTCACTTCAGTTTTGTCTCTCTCTTTTTTTTTTTTTTGCCTTCTAGTATTACTGAGCTATAATTGACTTACAGTACTGTATAAGTTTAGAGCTTCCCAGGGGGCTCAATGGTAAAGAATCCGGCTGCAATATAGGAGACAAAGGTTTGAACCCTGGGTTGGGAAGATGCCCTGGAGAAGGGAATGGCAACCCACTCAGATATTCTTGCCTGGAGAATCCCATGGACAGAAGAGACTGGTGGGCTACAGTCCATGGGGTCACAAAAGAGTTGGACACACCTGAGCAACTTAACAACAATTGTAGAGATCTAAGGAGTGCAACATAATTTACACACATCATGAATTGATTATTATAGTAAGTTTGGTGAATATCCATCATCTCATAGATACAGAAGTAAAGAAATAGAAAAAAAATTTTTCCAGTGATGAGAACTCTCAGATTTACTCACTTAGCTTTCATATATAACATACATCTGTGTTAATTATATTTATCTTGTTATACATTATGTCCCTAGTACTCTTCTTATAACTAGAAATTTATACCTTCATTCAATCCCATCCCTCTCCTCCCCATCAGCCATAGATCTGATCTCTTTTTCTATGAATTTGTTTGTTTTTAAGTACTAATTGACTTACCACACTGTTAGTTCCTGTTACAGGGTATCGGGATTTGATATTTGTATACATTTCAAAGTGATCATCATGAAAGCCTAGTCATATCTGTCGCCGTACAAAGAGACTACATAGTTGTTGACTTTATTCCCCGTGCTGTACAGTTCATACCCATGACTCACTCACTTTGCAACTCTAAGTTTGCACTTCTTAATCTCTTTCACCTATTTCTCCCTGCCCCACCCCCCCTCCTTTGGCAACCATCTGTTTGTTCTCTGTATCTATGACTCTGTTTATGTTTAGTTACGGTTGTTCATTTGATTTGTTTTTTAGATTCCACCTGTAAGTGAAATCATAGAGTGTTTTTTTCTTTCTCTGTCTGACTTATGACACTAACATAATACCTTCTAGATCTATCCAGGTTGTTACAAATGGCAAGATTTCATTTTTTAGCCCCTATGGCTGAGTGATACTCCACTGTATACATATACTTCATCTTTGTTACCTATCCATTTCCCTTTGGACCGACTATCTGCTGAGTTTCAGTCTGTGTTTGTCGGTTTTGTCTGTGGTGGTTTGAATCTTTGGGTGTGGCACTCAGTGGTACATCCATATTCTATGCGTTTGTCTCCTCCCACTAGAGTGTAGGCTCAGTGAAGACAGCAGCCTTCTTTGGCTTGTTCACTTCTCTCTTCCTGGGTCTTGGAGAGTGATGCCTGACATGTAGAGGGCCCTTGTATATTTGAAGTAGGAGTGAAGAAAGATTGCTCTGTATAAATGATTAAATTCCTATTAGAAACACACTCTTAAGTGTAGTACAAACCACGGTTGTCTCAAACTGGATAGCCCTTGTGTTACTCAGTAAAAAACCCTTGCTGCTGCTGCTGCTGCTAAGTCGCGTCAGTCGTGTCTGACTCTGTGCGACCCCGTGGACGGCAGCCCCCCAGGCTCCGCTGTCCCTGGGATTCTCCAGGCAAGAAGACGGGAGGGGGCTGCCACTTCCCTTAGTGAACTCTTATGTGCAGGTGCTGTGGTGGGGGTCATGAGTGTTC